ATCCATGGGGACTTGCGATTGTGGGAATTATTTAAGTTCGTTTTTTCGTATGGATGTCAGTAGATTTCTGCCGTTTGACAATCTCTTGTCAGCAAGGAGTCGGGTGGGATAATATAGGAGGAACACCACCATCACGAAGCACCATGCTATCGTGAACAGGGGCCAATATACGATTTGAGGAATATGATTTTTCTGCTCGTAGATACGACTATTATTGTCCCAAAACAATGATTTTTGTTTTTTGCTGCTGTAATAGAGTCGTTGATTACGGCCTGAATGAACATGAAATGATGTTAAGAAATAGAATAAAGGTTAGTGTTAGTGCGATGTAAAATATATACACGGATGACGTTTCACCACATTATTCTCAGCTGTTCGAGTGTGTCTATAGAGACATGGTCGAGACGAAAGACAAACATTAATTATCTGGACGTTGAATACGGCGTCTCGTACCATCGATATAACCGACGTATCGTCCCAACACCGGATACCATAGAACTGAATCGGCCATTTCTCGATCATTTGACCAAGTGATCATTGATTGAATGGTTTGCACTAATATGGGTAAAAAGAACATTCGTAATCTCGATATTTTTATTCTTGACACATTGAACATTAGGCTGAGCATCGAGAGCATAAGATCTGAGTCAAATTAGGAGAAGAAGAAGAACGTTCGCATCGAATTCGCTTTTTCAATATTTTCATTTTTCTGATGCTGAATGCAACAAACGTAGGATAAATATCTTCGAAGGTTTCAAATGGAATATCAGTTAGGTGACAGAATCTGCGCGGAGTAGACCGAAGTTCGGCATAACGATCCGTTAAAATACATTGCTTATAATTGTCTAACGGCATGGTGATTTGATAAATCGTTAAGTTTGATAAGTACAGAATGATAATCAAAATATGTTGAAGTTGAATAGACAATGACATAAATTGTTCATGTTGATCGAATTCAATTTCGTCTAATAACTCTGTCAATGTAGCGAATATGCCTGATAAATGACTCAAGATTTCGAGAACGGGTTTTAGAACATCAGGTCTATGAATGGGATGTGTCATTTTGTTGTAGCTGTGTTTTCAGATCTATAATAGACTATGAACGGCGTTTTTCTTTTCAGATACATAATAAACCTGACATCAGAGTTAGGTATGGGACGAATCGAACGGACGCTCAAGCGCTCGGTGTACGAGCGAAACAGACGAATCGCGCTCGCATGCCATTCATAATTTTTATTCATGTTTAAACAATTATTTACTTGCTGTGTAAACGGCTGTTCATTTATTTTATAAACCAAAAATATATTTTCTTCTGTTAAAAGAGTGAAATGAATGTCGTACTAGGTCTAGAGTGGAATCTACACAAGAAAAGTAAGTCTTGTCTCTTTTAGATTAACAACAGTAGCACTATCGTAGTTCAAAGTATCAGATGAATTATTAGTAAAATCTTACTCTCACTAAATTTTAATAATACGCAGTACATGAGCACTCAAGTAAAAATGTACTCGAGCGCGTTCATTAAAATGCGCTCGAGCGCGAGCGCACTCACGTTTTCTCAGCTCGAGCGCTCGATTCGTCCCATACCTACTCAGAGTAATCCAACAACAAAACCTGCCTATTTAAAACAGCCGTCACTCGCAGCAGAAATAATTCTAGGCTTATATGAACGCGGTACCATTCGTCCAAAAAAAATAACCAAGGAATTAGCCACTGGTCATTATGGCGAAATAACGAAATCTTATCAGTCAGTCACTCAGCCAACAGCTGTCGGACGCGCGTATAGTTATTTTTAATGAATTAATTTATATTAGTTTGTTTATTGCTCACAAAGTAATTTCATGTTTTTTCGATATATGGAGTGGAAGAAAATTTTTTTAAATGATAAATCATTCGATATGGTTCTCATGAATATCATATTTGTTTGGAATAAAAATATTTCAGATCGTCAAGATCGAGGATTACTGATCAAAAACGTCAGTTTTTTCCGGATAAATTAAGTTTTGACCGAGGAAGAAAGAGAGAATTGATCCCGGTTACTTTAATTAACTATATCAAACTACCGCTACTGTATGGAATTGTGGTTCCGCCGCGGATTGGAAATTTCCATGACATCAAGTTTCCCGGAAACTTCGAGACCTATGTCATTCGAAAGAGTATTGAATTCTGACTACTAATGTCACTTCTATCTAAGATTTGTTAAATTTTTAATCTGAGAAGTTGCTGGAATAAACACTAATTCCATAGTGAGTAGAATCGTTCTTTTGGATAAAACGATAAAATTTGTCCTTTTCTCCATTTCTTGCTTTATATCTGTCTCACTGTAATGTGCTTAGATCAAAGCTTCATGTAACTAAACGTGTATTATATAGGCATAATATTATGGTGTTTTGTTATACAATTGCAGTGATGAATATAATGGTAATTTATGAGTAGTTATATTCATCATTTAACACTCTTGTTCATTGATTATTAATAGCTCTCTTTCGAGAAGATATTGAGTATGGATAATAGCAGCCTTTTAATTATTTTCATTTCTGTTTTATATACATTATCTCTTACTACCATGGTCCGAAGAGAAAGTCGGAAAGTTATGGTAAAGCTTGAGGAGTCCAGGATGCATTTCGTACTTCTCAAAAGCTTTTGTCAAGATAAACGCTGGAGCGCTAGAGTTCATTTTAAATTGAAGCTAGCATATTTATTTATACTGTCCGTCGCCCATACTACCGAATAACTGCAGCGAGAACGGGTTCTTATTGTTATCAGTTCCAAAAACCGATCCGCCCTTTTGAAAGAGAGCACAACGCTGCAAGCACCGCCGCTTACTATTCGAACGAATCCTAGGCAGACAGAGCAAATAAAAAGGTGATGAAACTCTCATGATTTATGTACTGATTATCGAAAGGGTAACATAGTTCCCCTGTTTTCGCTTCGCAATCAAATTTATTCATCCATTTTTTTCTCGTCTGATGAAGTTCAAAAGGGACAGAACCGATATAATGGTAAAAAGTACGATGAATGTTATTATTTCAACCTCAAATAACATTTACGTTGTTACTTTTTCTCGACAGTTTTGGCTACCTCCGTAAATAACATGAGCTCACTAAATAGAAAAAGCACACGAATTTCGTTTTCATTCATGCCGCACTATTGTTCATTTTCTCTTTTCGAATGTTCTTTTTCTAGTAAGTAAATAAATACAGAGTAGGGGTGGCACATTTTCTTTACTGATGCGTTACTTTACTGAGTAAAGCAACGCTTTCAAATATCACCGTATGAGTGACGAACAACCGAAAATGTATTGTTTTATCACCTTGCGGAC